TTTTTTTATGGGTAAGATACAAATGATATCCTATAGGAGTAAATAATCTTAAATGCTAAAACATACCTTGCCGTGAGGATCAGCAAACATTCTTGTGAAAATTTCACATAATCTTTTCAGTTCAACTCGACTGCCAAAATAATAAAATAGCTAATTAATATCTTGCTGTAGGAAAACACCATATAAAAGTCACCTTACACATAATTAAGTTTCTTAACAACAACAACAACAACAACAAAAATTCAAAAAATCAGCCCTCAAAATTGAGAAATATGTGGGATTTGCTAGTTAGGGATAAATATAAAATTATCAAATGCAACAATAATTGTCTTGTAACTATCTAAAAGCATAAATTTGTGAAAAGAAATACAATTGTATTTCATTAATATAGTATGACAGGTGAAATTTTACACGTAGCATTCCCAACACATGAATCTTATCATTTTAAGTGCTAAGATGTTTTCTTAAATTTTGCCACTTGGGGCTAAAATCTTTCTAAACTATGCCTACTCCCTTGCCATTTAAAATGATATACTGAATCTAATTTTGATGGGCTGGGAACAATATTATGATGATTTATTGCAGTGATTCATAAAGTTTGTGATATCTACACATGAAGATACATTAGGTAGTACATAATAAATATCTTAAATTTTATAGTTCTAATACTTTCTAAAATAAATACACAGCAAGTACATCAAACCCTGATTTCACAGGTATCAAGTCAAGAAGTAACCCTCTACATTCTACCACATTCAAATCTATGAAATATCTGAAGTTAGGTTCTTAAAGGGGTTGACTATAAAGGTTTAAAACATTACATAGACAAGGACAATGAAGAATGCAGGGGGAAAAAAAGCAAGCTAAAGCCATAAGGAAACAAAACCCAAAATAAACTTCTGTCCTTAGAGAAATTCACTCCAATTTGTCTTCATATGACACTAAGATTCATATATTACATGCATATTAACAATATACCTTCATTTCCAAATAAGCATAAACATTCTTTCCTCTCGCTGAAAAATTTAGCATGAATGAATTTTCACAAACCAGTTAGTGTTATTGTTATGCATTTTATTATTTATTTTAATATTAAAATCAATAACATTTTTATTAACTTCTATTTGTAAATAAAAAGTTTTCTTTTAAAATGTTTTGTTAAATAGACCAAGTGAATTGAAACATTTTTTAGTAAATTCTAATACAGATGGTCCTAAAGGACTGAGGCTTGGGAAAAACACTTTGATGCAACCTTCTGAATTTAGGACAAGTCTTTTCTGTATTTCTAAAGCATTATGGAAACAAAGTCAAGTCAAAAAGTGCTAACGTAATAGTAAAATTATTTTAAGATAACAGATCTCACCTTAGTGTTCTCTGATTTTTTAACAAGTTCTGCAGACCCAGAAGACCTTCCTTCCTTTCTGACCAATTTGAACTAGCACATCTATTGAGGACTTCTGCCACATCTTCTGTTTGCCTCATATATGTAGGAATACTACCATTTCGAGAACTATAGGAGCGTTCTGAACAAGCACTAGATGCGTCACTGTTAGCATCATCATCCGAATGCATTCCATATGATTCGTATCTTCTTCGAGCAGGTTTTTTCTGTCATACATAAAGAATCTCATTAGCAGCAGTCAAATGAATATATTGGTATTCTGTAATATCTACTGACCACAAAAGGATTGATCACTGTTTTAAAATCAGTGCAAAGCATGCTAATCATTATAATAACAAAAAGCCAATATTTAGTTTTTCTTCAGAAAACATGTTTTACAAGCTAGTTAGTAGAAGGTAAAATATTCTTTAACTAGGGAAGTGGTAGGAGTAGAATAAGACTATATGGAAGTTCAGATACATAAAGTGGGAAGTGCTCAAAAATATGGGTTTTTTTCTTTCCTCTTTTTGTGGAAAACCAAGAACTACTAGAATGTAAATGACCAGAAACTACTAGAAATCTCATTTGGTAAGAAGAAAATACTACTTTTTTAAAGGAAGTACAATGGATCAGATAAATGCATGTTTCCTATGAGTAAAGTTCCATTTTTTCTTGTTTCTCTACCTTCTCTTTCCTCTATTTTCCTTTTACCTCCACTATCACTTCTCTTGCCACTCTTCCTTCTCTTTTTCCCAACCCTCATGTCTCCTCGAGAGGTAAAATACAAATAATGGAAAACTGTTTTGCTTACTATGCTTTTCTCAGTGTATCTATGTTGTCTATTTCAATAAATATAACAAAGCATATTCAGATTCCTTTGATTTCTTTACATCTAAGGCTTACTATCAATATATGTAACTGCCAATTATACCTTGCATATTAAAAGTGAAATGAGAGAGAATAAACGGTTTATTTGAGATTTCTTTGGGAGAGTTGGAAACAAATATTTATGTAATCTGATATCTGAACTTTGGCTGGTGAGTGGTGAAGATATTTCTATGAAAGAGATTAAACACAATAATTTCAAATAGTTTCAGGTGGCAATAAATTATCTCTAAAATCTAAAAGAAATATGATTTGAACTTAAAATAGTTCTATAATGATGTTTCCATCATTAAATGCCTTACATTGATTTAGAGACACCAACTTAATTTAGAATGATAATACTGTGATGTTTCCCATGTTGGTTCCAGGATCAGTTTTGTTACAGATGTCAGTGTGAATGACTTCACCTCATGTGTATGAAGTAGCCAGGACTAGCACCCCCAGCAAGACACTATTCAAGCAGTACCTCCCTCTTGATAATATTTACAGATAAACAGATGCATGTCTAAGAATTTTAAGACCATCATTTGTTAAACTGATGAAGCAAAGAAAAAAAGTTATGGTATCATAAGATGTCAGAAAATAGCAGTATCTATACCTTAGTCCGTATGTCTCCTAAGAGCTGAGAGCAGTAAATTTTTAAAGAGAAAAGTTGAAAATAATGAAGAACATTTTGCTAAACAGCACAAGGAAGTAGGCATTAACAATGTCCATGATAAGAAACATTACGTTTTTTAACATATAGATACAAAAGAACCGCTTATTAGCAGGCTGTATCTTTAATCTTGTCAATATCCTTTAGTTCAAAGAGAAATATCTAAGCCAATACAAAAATATTCCCATAAACCAGTTTTTCCAAAGAAACTCAAATGTTCTTCTTATTTGGATTCTTTGCCATTTCCGAAGTTAAATTTATTTCTATGATTCTCTCCAGGTACTAATTATGTTCAATAGCTGGAAAGGTTTTTTCCTAAAAATTGATAGCTGTGACTGGAATATCTGGTGCTATGCAAATAACAGAAGTAGACCGAATCAGATTATTGGGATTCAGATTTTAGCCTTGGTGGTTAAATACTTCTCATATAATTCAAACTTACCATTTTAGGATTATAAGTAATAGTTCAAGAATAACCCACTCAATTCATAATATTTATGTAAGCAGAATTTAACTGGTAAATCATTCAATTAAAAAAATCCCAAAAACATTTGAGAAACACAGTGATGAGGAATATTATATTTAAAACATCTGATTGATTTAATATCATCAGAACAAGAGGTGATCAATACAGTCCACGCCCAAGAAAACAAAGTCCTTGCTCAGTTATATTAATTTATAAACAATAAGCAAATGCGTGAGATAAAGGGACAAAATCAAAACACATAGACTGTTAGAAAACTATACATGTAATGATATTTGATAAATTGTAGCTATTAACAATGAATTCTTTTTTTTTTTTTTTGAGACAGTCTCACTCTGTCACCCCAGCTAGAGTGCAGTGGCATCATCATAGCTCACTGTAACCTCCAACTTGTGGGCTTAAACGATCCTCCTGCCTCAGCCTCCCAAGTAGCTGGGACTACAGGTGTGTGCCACCATGCCCAGCTAATTTTTTATTTTTTTGTAGAGACGGGATGTCGCTCTTGCTCAGGCTAGTCGTGAAATCCTGGCCTCAAGCAATCCTCTCGCCTCAGCCTCCCAAAATGCTATGATTACAGGTGTGAACCACCATGCCTGGCCTAGAATACGTTTTTATACCTCACTGTTAATGTGTCAGGCATAAATAACCAGGAATTATATCTAATTATAAGATATGATTACATCTTCATTATAATTTGCTTTGAGGCTATACTTTCAGCTTAAAAAATAAAAATTTTGTAAAAATACCAAAAACTAAACAAAATCCAACCCCAACTAAGATAATCCCTAAATACTCAAGGTTAAGCTAGCCTTGAAATTATTATACATGCTTGTAAGTGTACATATTTATATACTAATCTATCTGCTCTTACCTTCGTAGTATACTAGTGTATAAAACAAATTATTAAAGACATTGCTATTTATATTCCTGACATCCTATCAGTATTATTGGTCCTGGCTTAAAATTCTGAATAATTAATAAAGATCAAGGATTAATTATATTGCTATGCTTTTTACATTGTCCATATTTCATATTCCTAAATTTAAAAAAATTTCCCATTCCCTTTCCCACATGGGTGAACTGGATTACTCACACATTAGTTTCATAATTAGAACATTTATAAAGATAAGGAAATGGAGAGGAATACCAAGGCATCTGCTACTGCTTCCTCCACGTCAGAACCTGTGTTCAGGACTCGCATGGCACTGACAGAAGACGACAGTCGGCTTGATTGGCTAATCCCATACCCTGGACCTAATTCAATAAAAGAAGGAAAATAGCTTTGAAGGAGTCATAAATGTAACAGTGTCAGGCTGGGAAACTTTAAGACCTTTAAGTGAGGGGGAAAAAAAAACCAATGGGGCAAAGCATTTTAAAAGCAATATTGTATTTTCTGGGCACATTTAGTTCTTGGTAAAATAAAAGGGTAAAGGCAATTAAAATTATTGACAATGTATGGGAAATAAATTTAAAGAATAGTAGCTATTTATTTATGACCACAAGGTAGAAGAAAGCATGGCTGGTTGACTAAGGGCTTGCAAGTCTATAGCCCTATAATTAATCCAGCTCTATCAATTCAGGCAAATCGCATCCATACAGCTGAACCACAGGGTAACCCAGAACAATGATCAGTCCTCAACCAATAAGGAGAGGGAGATCAATGAAACCACACTGGGAATTTACAAGGAAAAAAGCTTTAATTATCATCTCCTCTTCTTCAAGATAGGTTGGTTTCATTCTATAACCAGACAGATTATTTATTTGATATCTGTTAAGTGTCTACTATGTGCCCGACGTTCTGAGATATGGAAAGACAAACCAGAGATGAATTCTCCCACTCAACTCCTTTCTATACCATCATTTACAATTAAAACACTTCATCCACCATTTTGGTTTTTTTTTTTAAACATATATACAAAGATGAAGTACACAACTGAAAACATAAAACAATTCTATATTTAAAAATGACAAAACAGGTTATACAAAAGAAAAATGTCCATCTGCCAGTGAGAAAAATGCTCAGTAAGGTTGCCGAAAGGGGGAAAAGTTACTTGGTGGAAAAGGAAAAAAAAATACAAATGATTTATTCTCCGACAAATTAAATGTAAATAATAAAACATGAATATTATTCAATGGAAACCGAAAAGGACAAAATCTGAGATGAATGCCAGATGAAAGTGAAAATGTACTCATCCTTCACCTGAGGCCCCATACACATCGGGGGCGTAGAGGGCACCAGTTGATCTGGAATGGTGTCTGGAGGCTGGAATAACAGGACCATACAAACCTCATCTATTACCACAGAAACAATGAATAGTGGCAGCACTACTGTCAGGCAAGGAGAGTTAGTTAACACTGGTGATACTCTTAATAGTTAATGATCAGAAAACTGCCAAATAGGGCAATTGAACCTTAGCATTGCAACATCATCTCTGACACACAAACACATCTTACACCTAAGTGGACAGACATAGGCCTACAGGAGACAAAAAAGCAAGTATTCAAATGGAAGGAAATGTCAAAAGTACAAGCATGAAACAAACAAACAAAAAAACCAAACATATCATAGTTAAAAAAAAACCACTATGGTAACTTGTAACTAATAAAAATCTTATATCCTTTAATCTTGACACCCAATGAGGCAGTTATTAATATTCCAGATTATAGATGGTACTGTAATTTAAATGTTTGCCCACTGACCCCCCCAGTTTATATGCTGAAATTCTAATCCTCAAAGTGATGGTGTTAGGTGGGGCCTTTGAGCGGCAATTAGGTCATGAAGGAAAAGCTCCCATGACTCAGATTAGTGCCTTTATTAAAGTGACCCCAGAGAGCTAGCTAGCTTCTTCCAACATGTGAGGACACAGCTAGAAGACATCATCTATGAACCAGAGAATGGGCCCTCACCAGACACCAGATCTGCTGGTGCCTCAATCCTGGACTTCCTAGCCTCTAGAAGTCTGAGAAATAAATTTCTGTCATTTATAAGTACCCAACTATGGTATTTTGCTACAGCAGCCAAATGAACTAAGACAGATGGGGAAGCTAAAGCACAGAAGGAGGTAATTTGGTCCAAGTCACACTACTCATAAGGGCTACTCCTCGGTATCTATATTCTTTCAAGGCCTCTGCTCTTAAACAATACACGTACCACATTCACGTTGTTCAAAAGATAATATACCTTTTTTGTGTTAACATAAAAATTTTCCATAATGGTTCACAGAATATAAATTCTGTGTTCAAGAGCAGATTATTTAAATGTCAAAGCACATTTAAATGCCAAAAAAATTAATAATTTAACCAAAGAACCTAGAAATTTGTGATATAGCTTCCTATATATTGCTCTAAAATCTAAATTAGCATATTTTCCATTTTAGATCTTAAAA